CCTGTCGCTGTGGCGGGAAAGAAGCCCCAGGGCTGAGGGAGCCGGCACCCCGGGTTCGGCCGAGCTGGCGGTTGCGACTGGAGGCCGGGCAAAGTTTGGAGATGGCCTAGGACGCCCATCTTTAGGGTGTTAGAAAAGCCAGGGCAGGGCAATCGCCAGGGTGGGCTGGGTGGATGTGTAGACGGGAGGAAGCTGCACCGCTACTGTGGTTGCTGCCGGCGCACGGTCTGAAGCCTCACCTAGGACTGAACGCCCCAGACAGCGAACCCTTAGAATATAGAGGAGACCAGCTGCAGCTGGGCTAACCCGGTCCACGTCTGGTCTACTCACTTCCAAACTGCCAGAAATCGGAATTTCATTTCACTGGGAGTTTGAGGTAGGGAACAGCGATTTCTGCCTAGCGAATTTTTTTTAGTAATGTTTACTCCTAAAGGGTACATTAAGAATGGAGCGAAACGGGGGCCATTTACTTCCATGCTGCTATTTGTAGCAACTTCCTTAATTGCAAGAGGAGGTGGCGGGAATAGGATTTTATTTCTGCCAATGGTGTGAAAGAAAGGGTTCCTCTACAAATTTTGATTTTTCTGTAGTGAAGAAACAGAGTGTGCTTCCCCCCCCCCACAACATTCTATGTTTTAAACTAATTGATTTGGTTCTTTTCATGTAATTTTTCGATATCACAGCATTGCTAACATATTTTTCATAGGTCATATAAATTTGCTGTCATTTTTCCTGCATTTAAAGTAATGATTTTAATCCATTTTTAGAATATCATTATCACAATAGCACTAGGTTAATGTGTGTCTAAACGTTTACCTCGTCCAGAAACATGCAGTATGAAATTGGAGCAGGTTATTACCTGTGGCACAGAGCAGTAGAGGTTGTATGTATCAGGGATCTTGAAATCTGTAGGAAGTGGCTTGTACTAGGTGTTTTGCTACAGCAAGTGACTATAATTTGTTTCTCACATTTAGCCCAAGAATGTAAAAGGATGTACTTCATAGTTACAGTTCACGTAGATTCTTGTGATCTTGGAGTGTTGTTTAGGGGTGACAGAACAGGGAAAGGTGATAAGAGCTAATTGCAATATTTGGGAAAAGGATCAGTTTTTCATATGGCACTCATGCAGTTTCAGACAACTGGACTCGGGATCATAATTCATTAGCTTGAAATTAAGATGTTGAAATACTGGTTTTTTTTTTTTTTCCTTAAGAATTTGAACATTTGAAGCCAAACAACCTGAGTATTGGTCTGAAAGTCCCCTTTGCTTCCCTTTTGCTTAATAGTGATCTGCATTGTACCAGAGCCTAGTAATTAAGCAGTGTTGGCCCAGGAAGCCAGGGCATGCAGTAGAATTTGCAGCAGTTGTTGAGATGCCAGCCTGCAGGTTGGAGGCTAGTACTTTGCATCCCTAACCAAAATCTCTGCAGAGGATCACTTTTGCTCATAGTGAAGTGAGTTTTGACCTTATTGCTTCTGCTGAAATGTCCAGCTGCTTACATTTTCCTGCACAACCATGACTGTGGTAAGTCCCAGGAATTTGTGCCAGTGCAGTAAGCTAGAAGGTTCTTAGGAGTTGTTTTTGAGCCCTAGGCATAGGGGAAGGAATTGATCTGCAAACCATTGGACCAGATATTGAATAATACTCCTCACTAAACAATGGCTTCACAATTCTGAAGGGTCAAATTTAGATCACTTAGATGAATAAAGCACATGCTATCCTCATCTTTTGCCTCACAGAGATTTGAGGGCCACTCCCATTTAAATCACTAGAAGGGTGAAATTAAAGATTTAGATAGGGACTTTGAGATTTGCACAGCAATGTAGATGTCACCCAAGTTTTGCACTGTATTATGATTGTTCCAGTATTTTGGAAATAGAGCTATAAATTCCTTTCAAAGTCCGTTGTGTATTTTTGTGTACCTTTTTGTGTCTGAAATTGGCTTTGGATGTGGAAAAAATTACAGTGCTGTTTATTGTGGTTTTGGTCATTGAAAACTACAGACTAAATGTCAGAAGTGGGTTTTCTTTGTATTTTAAACCTGACATGGGTAGTATGCTTAGGAGCAGTGAGTAACATTTTTTCTATTGCTCAGTTGTGTTTAATGAATCATTTTTTAAAAAGCCATTTATTTTCCCAGGTTCTCCAATTTCAAGCTAAAAGAAATAGTTATTCATTGTGTTTTTTAAAGACACATCCTTGATGTATTTGCTGTTAATAATTGTGTTCCTTTCTTTTTGATGACTTATGACTCTCCTTTTGTCAATTTTGAGGTACAAAGAAATTGGTAGATTTTGTGTACAACATTTGGGATTTAGGCATTTAGGGAGTGTCTTAAAAGATTGAAGAGTTGGATATATCTGAGTGCAATAAAATCACTGCCTGTTCTCAGTCAACATCTTTATAAATATAATAAATAAATAATAGTAGCTTTGTTAATATGATCCATGTATTTGAAAGGCATATGTAATCAAACTCTGAGCTAGTTGAGATTTGAAGATCATGGACTTTTATGTTATTTTGCCTTTTTTACTCTTAATGAAATTTCTAGTGATTGTAGCAGCACTTTCACATAGCTATAAAGGTTTACTGTAAGTCTAAACAACAAAAATTCCCCCCTCTTTTTGGCTTATTAAATGATTTTATGCTAAAGATTCTAAATAAAACATTTTTTGATAGAGAACTTAGCCAAGTAGATGCTATCAATTTAGTTTTCCTGAAAGGGATATCTAACAGGTATGAATATTTCTATATCATTGGCACAGAACAACATAATCATGAGTGTGAAATACTGGTATAAATTTACATCTGATTCTAGAAGCTTTCAAACTGCTTTGGTTTCATAAAGCATGCAGTTTTTAGTAATGATATTTTATAGAAAAGGTTTTATTGAAGAGTCACAGGACTAGAAAGAAATCAGACTACATAAAGAAGAATGACAACTCAAAGTAAGACTAAAATATACAAAATAAGGACTGATGAAATAGATAGCTAATTTATTACTTTGAGTCCAAGGCAAGGCCAGTATAATGAAGCAATAGATGGAGGCACTTAACAGAATAATTCAGTAATTGCTTTTTTTTTTCCCCCAGCAGCAAAAAGGTTATTTTCCTTCCTCAAATTATCAAACTAATTAAACTGGGGGTAGGGACAGTTTAATGCATCCTTTTTTCCTGTTTCATTTTACTAGTGACTTTAAGCTGACATTGCTGAGCATCAAAAATACTGACTTTATTTTGTTTATAAATACAGGTGCTTGCATGTGTTGCAATATTTTTACATCTACACAAGCAAGTATTACAGATGGTCTGTGCATCTTGGCTTCTGCCAGGTAATTCATATACAGCTAGGTTTAACAATTGAATTTGACCCTACTTAAAAGAAACTTTTTTATCTTACTGTGTTATAATTGCCTTTAACTTGTGCTCTCCCTAGACCAGTCTTTTTGAACTGAAAGAGAATTAAGCCCTAATGCCTTAGGGCATGCATTGTGTGTAATAAAATTAACTTCTTTCCTGTGCAACTGGAAATGAGAAACCCCAACTGAGAAAGGCTGTCCTAGACTGTACAGTAACTGTGGGTAGGGACAGTTTAATGTATCCTTGGCCTCTGGCATAGCACCTCATACCTAGTAGGTATTCAGGAAATGTTTGTTGAAAGAATTACTTATATATAAGTTTCACATAAATAATATTATTTACTTACAGATAATGATTTATAGTTATCTTCATTTTATCCAGAATGATTGAAGAATTAGGAGTTCTGGTTAATTGGAGTATACCATATACTGGTTCTCAGTTTTCTAAGAATTAGAATAACTGCATCTAGGGGCAAAAGGTATAGTGGTTAAGGTATGGAATCCCATATGGCTGACTATAGTTCACGTCCTGGACCCTGTGGCTTGAAAATCATGCCTGGTTGTGTGTGTGTGTGTGTGTGTGTGTGCGCGCGCATCCAAAATCCTAAGAGGAGAATGGGGAAGAAGGGATTGCAGCATGGACATCCCTTATCCCCCAGGGGGGTGATATATATCATATAGCATAGTATTTTATCCTCTGAAAAGGAAATTATTTTAAGTGCTATGTACTTACCTCTATCCCCATCTGAAATATAAAATTTCTTGGTGGCTCTTTCCTCAGCTCATTATTTTTCATCTGTTACTACTGACTCAAACAGTGTTGTCAATTCAGTTCAAAACAATTCAGCAAGTATTTATTGAACATGTATTGTTCATGATGATATATGGTAGTTGCAAGATCATTATCAAGAACATTGTTCTGATTTTTCCAAGAATACCTTGGTGAAGAAGGGACTAGGAAAACATTCTCACCTTAATACTTTAAGACAACATTTAATAGAAGTTAAAAAACAAATGATATCTGCTTGAATGAGTAGGCCTCACCAAGACTCCCATATTCCATTAAATAAATATGAAGCAAGAAATCAATGAGTCTGTACTTCACAAATACAGATTAACCTTCTAAATCTGGATATGTATGGTCCAACATAATCTCTAAACCACATCTTCTTTAATCAAGAAGTATGCAGAACCAGCAATCCATCCATATACTGCAGTAATTGAGGGGCGGTTTGCCAATGTGCTGGCATAGGGCATCCATGCCCATATCTGCAGTGAGCACTCATTCATCATTAAGCTGCAGTAGTGTTAACATATGCTGCAGTTGTACTAACATGTTGATCTATCCTTACACCAGACCCAGAAGGTAAATGTTAAATGAACGGAAATAAACTCAAGAGCAGCACCTAATTCACTTGTGAGAGCCCAAAACCTTCCTCTACCCAACCAGAAAAATTTCTCCAATCTCAAAGACTACAGGTATAAAAGGTTAATCTGTATAAAGCACTATAGATGTACAGGGTATTCTACCTCATTGAAGAAAAAAAATCATATTTTTAGTTTATATCGTATGTGCTCACCCTCTTAGAGAAAACTGATGAACCATGCCAGACAAACAGTCAGTCCTGATTGTTTCTGTCACTTAATAAACTAGTATTCAAATTCATTCAGTAGGTTAGTGTTCTGCAAATGATGTGGACAAATGGAAATTAGTAGGGATTCTTCCAGGGGCCACCGGCCATTCTTTACCTTCCAGAACCCAATGCTTAATGGGTACGTAATTGGCAGTTTGTGTGAAGAAACAAGCTCATTTGGGTGCATCAATATGAAAGTAGCCAGCTTCACCAGCCCAAATCTAACCTTTGTTAAAAGTCCATTAAGGACACTGGAAACTATCTGATGCACAGGCACTCAGTATTACCCATTAAATAGTTGAATTATTAACAATAATTATAAACAAAATAAACAGGAAGTCCTTATAGAATGTATTTAGGAGACATTCAGAGTTTTATGTTACTTAATCAGTAAAAGATCAAGGAGAAAAAAGATCAGAACTATTCTCAACTTGTGTAAAAATTGTTTTCAAGTTATAGTGGTTCATTTCTGAATAGGCCTCCCACCTTGCACAGGGTCAGCCTAGAATCTATTTGCAAAAAATGGACTGTCATGTATAAGTCATAATGAAAGTGTCAAATGCAACAAATTCCTTTTTATCTGACATCCAAACAACCAGAAAATAACAGATTGTACAATATATTTTTGGTACAAAGTCAAATGACAAGCAACTATTTAACAGTTAACCTATTCATAAGATCAGATTTCCTGGTATATCCCAAACGTATTAGATATCAGTACAGTTACCTTGCTCGCTACATCTTTAGCTATACATATAATGATAATTAAAGTCTGTCTCACTTACTCATGTGTCCCCAGAATCTATCATAGTGCCCAGTACCTGGTAGGTCCTCAGTGAGTATTTGTTGAATGAAATAATGCTCTACAAAACAATGAGATGCCCTAAGTGACCTAAGAAAGATTACACTATGGTTAGTATACCTTCAGGATTAGATGCATTTACCCTTTTTTTAAAAAAAATTTATATTTCTATCCAGAGAGAAATGCACCCCTAATAGGATCCTCACATGATAAACCTCTCTCCAGCCCTGCAGCCAGCCAGGATCTTAGGAGCACCCAACAGTGCACCGGGCATGCTGAGATAGAGCCTGGACAGGAACCTGGAGCTTTTCCATGTGGTTTCCAGCATTGTGAAGCCGCATCCCTACTGCCTATGCCACTGTGGCCAAGCCTAAATGTATGTATGTATTTATATTTATATGTTTTTTGGAGGATAGCCATGGAGAGCACGTGCTCACTGGAGAGACAATGAGAGGGAGAGTGAGAAATCACCACCCTGGGGGAATGGCCATGCCACAATCCCTTTTTCCCAATTCTTCTCTTAGGATTTTGGGCATACGTACACCAGGCATGATTTTTAAGCCGCAGGGTCCAGGATTGAACCATGGTCAGCCATATGGGATTCCATATCTTAACCACTACACCTGCTGGCCCTAGATGTAGTTATTCTAATTCTTAGAAAACTGGGAACCAGTATTTAGTATATTCAACCAGAACTCCTCATTCTTCAATCATTCTGAATAAAAAGAGGCTAACTATAAATCATTATCTGTAAGTAAATATCTATGTGAAACATATAAAAGCCCTTCTTTCAACAAACATTTACTGAGTACCTACTAGGTATGAGGTGCTGTACTAGAGATCAAGGATACATGAAACTGTCCTTATCCACAGCTGCTGTACAGTCTAGGACAGCCTTTCTGAGTTGGGGTTTCTCATTTCCAGTTGCACAGGAAAGAAGTTGATTTATTATATATATTATCTATCTATCTAAATCTATATTGATGTGTGTGTGTGTGTGTGTGTGTGTATTTTTTTTCCTTTTGGCCAGAGGGTGTATGCCCTTGCCAGATGGAGAGAGAGAGAGAGTAAGCAAGCATGTGAGCATCCCCCCAGTGGGGCATGATTGTGCCACAATTCTTTTTTCCCCCTCTAATTCTCCATCCAGTCAGGATTTGAGGCTCACACGCACTTGTGCCTGGTATGTTTTTCAAGCTGCTGGGTACAAGATTTGAACGTGGGTTGACATGTGGGATCTCATTACCTATGCACAGGGCTTAACTGTTGTGCCTGTGGGACTGACCCTACACTATACTTATCAATATTTTAAATGAGAAATAATAATAATAACAATTAGGCCCACTTAAAAAAATAATCAGAGGGCCAGGCAGTGGTGTGGTGGTTAACATGGCTGGATTCCATGTGACTGACTACATACATATTCAAGTCCTGGATGTGAAGGCTTGAAAAACACATTTGTGTGCATGTTCCATATTCCCAGAGAATGGAGGAGAAATAATTGTTGCATGGCCAGCCCCCCTGGGGAGTCCTTTCTCACTTTCCCACTCTCTTTCTGTCTCCAGTAAGTACATGTGTCTTCTAGCAAATTAAAAATAAAAAGGTAGTCAGAAAAAGTTTGTAATTTACTTGAGGCTGTTTTCTCTACCCACCAGAAAATCTTTAACTCCTTCCCATTTGTTGGACATTCATAGAACACTCTGTAATGAATTTACTCTCTTCAACTTCTAAAATTGTAAGCAACTTCTAAAATCGTAAGCAAATTTATTTTATTTTCTCTAATGCAGTTAATCTTATATTTTCTGTTGACACCAGTGCATCAAATCTATTTTGAAAATCGAAGTTGCATTGTTAATTCTCTCAAAGGCTGTATGTATATCGTTTGACTTACCATAGTAGGTGTGCTTTATTTGGATTTAGATACCACTTAGTATTTGGTGTTGGAGATGTAAGATACTTTCCTCTGTTTGCATCTAGTCACCATCAGCTGAGTAGATACCTGTAGCAAGAAGGCAGAGCAAACCAGAGGAACTGGAGTTTAAGGGGTTGGAAAGCAATCCCCTTAAGGGATTATGTTGTGAAATGAGTATAAATTTTGTTAAAAGAGATACTGCATATTCTGCTTCTGTTATTTACCTAGCTTGAGAAGTTGGGAACTGAAGACTGATTCACATATGTCAAAATGTTTCTCAAAATGTGGTCCTTGAATCATTTGAATAAAATTTTAGGATGCGTATTATAAACATAGATTCCTTGGCCTCAATCCTACTGGATCCAAGTCTTTGTATAGGCCCCAAAAATTAAGTTTAATTTTTAGCAAATACTCTAGGTGGTTCTTAGGCTCACTAAAATTTTTGAACACACATGTAATATAGTAAACACTGAAATATTTATTTTCTGATCACATACTCTGTTCACCTCTCTGAACTTCAATTTCTTCACTTATATAACAGATATGATAATATATACTTCACAAGGTTGTTTGAAAACATGTTTAGTAGACTATTTGATGCTACACTAATCGTGTCAGAGGAACCCAAAATTACTGATTTTGAAGGTTCTATGGTAGGACTAACAGGACTCAATGTAGAGGTATATTCAGGACTGTAATTTATTTATTTATTTATTTTTTAGTTTTGAGGTTTTTGCTTTAGGGCATGTGTACTTGTTGGAGAGATGGAAAGTAAGAAATTACCCATCAAGGGGAGATGGCCATGCCACAGTTGCTTCTCCTCTCTTCTCGGGACTTTGGGCATGTATGCACACACGCCCAGTGTGAGGTTTAAACCACTGGGTCCAGGATGCAACTACATGAGATTCCAGCAACATAACCATTACACCATCTGCTGGTCTCAGGACTATAATGTATTACAGTAAGTGGATACAAAGCCAAATCAATAAACAGAAAAGATAGATGGGGCCATGGCAAGAAGGAATCACTTGCAAGCTTCCAACAGTCCTCTTCCACTTAAGTTACATAGGGCATGCCTAATTCTTCCAGCCAGCAGTGGTGACAACTTGTGTGAGACGTTGTCTACCAGGAAACTTGTTACAGCCTCAGTACCTAGGGATTTTACTGGGAGGTGGTCACATAAGCATCCTCTGTTTGATCTGTACCACAATTTTAGACTCCATGAAGGAAAGCAGATATTCCACTTAAACCATGATGATTGTACAAACTGTTTAGTTAGGCACAGCTAGCCACTTTTACCAGTTAGGGTGGTCAGAACCCTTCTGAAATCAGAGTTCCCAGACAGCATCCAAGGACCACACTTGCATGCAGGCTTTTTTTTTTTTTTAAACAATAGTGTTCTGAGGGGCAGGTAGGTGGTGTGGTGGTTAAGGTGTTGGACTCCCACGTGGTCAACCAAGGTTCGAGTTCCGAACCTCAAGGTTTGCTTTGCTATTTTCCCTTTCTTTCTCTCTGTCTCTCTCTCTGGTCAAATTAAACAAATAATAATGATGATAATAAATGAAATAAAATAATTCTTATAAAAAGAATAGTAGTCTGAAGCCCACTATGTTAACTTTTTCCATCACAGTAATGCTATGACACACTGACATTTTTCAAATAACTTGTCCAAGATGATAAAGTCAATCAAAAGCAGAGTGCAGTATATCTGAGACTCCCAGGAATTACACCTGCTTTTCATTGCTGCCCACAGCCATGCTTCTCAATTATAGGTCATTCCTTTTCATATTGTTGAAAGCATTCACTGTTTGTCACTTGCAGCAGAAGATCAGCTTGCCGGTGGTAAATTGGTGCACCCAGTGGGGGAGCCAGGAAGTATTGATGTTTCTGCCAGTTTAGCGTCAACACTTGCTGGTTTCCTCTCTGGAGCATCACCAAGTTCGTGGATTTCCATTTTTCCTGACTTTTGGACCTTTGTTACTGCCCCTGCCCCTCCTGTTCCATTCATTTGCTCATATTCCCAACACTTGTTTGTGTCATTACTTCATCCCTTTCTGTATCTTTTGGGTAATAGAATTCTGAATAGTGGGTATATTGAAGAGTATTTTGTCAGAGAAAACTATAGAAAAAAATCCAAAAGGCAAAAATTATTTGACTAATAGTTTTATAGTAATATGTACATATATTGTTTTATTTCAGACTGGTTTTTGAGTTTTGTAGTTATGGGAAACTCCAGGGCTCAGTCTCTGTTTTTCCTTAAGTTTTAGCCTTTTTTACTGTTATCATAAAGGAAAATTAGCAGTTCCTTTACAATTTGACCAAAGACAAAATAAGGAAATCATACTGGAAGGTGCAGTAATCCCACAGATCCACAGGGAGCAGAAGCCAGGAGGGAACCATCACAAATACGTAACAGCTGGATAGAGGTGGTTATGTAAGCTACACCTGTTGTGTAAGCAGTGGGGTTGTTCCTTAAGCTTCACAATTAATGTAGTTTGTGGAAATGTGGATTAAGGGATCTATAGTATAGTGCACAGTTTACTTTGGCTTCTTTTCTGGAACCATTCATATGAACCCTGAGCTTTAGCCTATTGGTGTTGTAGAGGTGCGTAAGGCAATGGTCCTGCTCTTGTGGCTTGCAGTTTGGCAGAAGAGATAGAAGACACATACAGGATCAACCTACACACAGGCCAGTAGGTTTTCAGTGCCATCCTTCTGAGGGGCACACTTAGTAAGTGCAGTAGGGATTCTGTAGGAGGCACTGGCTCTCACTCTGACTGTAGCGACTTAAGAGTTTTGTAGAGGAAGTAGCATATGAACTGGGCCTTTGGGGGAACTAAAAGACTGAAGGTCATGGGATTTCAGGGATAGGCAACCTCACTACAGGAACAATCTAATTATCTGAGCAGTGGTGCAGCGTTATTGTTATGGCACTTAGAGCAGGAGATTCAGTCAATTTAGAGGACATAGCTTCCAATTCCACATGAGTTTGAGCTATTATAACCAATGCCATGGACTGAGAGGCTTAGAAACAACATTTATATCATAGTTTTTTTTTTTTTGAGAGGTTTTTGCCATACGGCACGTGTGCTCTCCAGACAGACGGAGAGACAGAAAAAGTGAGAAATCACCCCCCGGGGGGATGGCCATCATGCCACACCCCCTTCTCCTCCATTCTCCTCTCAGGATCTTGGGCACACGCGCCCGGCGTGAGTTTTAAGCCACCGGGTCTGGGACGTGAACCGTGATCGACTACATGGGAGTCCAGTGACATAGCCATTACGCTAACTTCTGGCCCCCTATATTCTTGAGGCTGAAGTATAGTTCAACAGAATGCCATGGTTGGGTTTTGATGAGGCCTTTTTTCCAGGTTGCCAGCTCCCATTGTCTTGTATCCTTACATGGAAGAAAGGCAAGAAAGTTCTCAGGGCTTTTTTATAAGGGCACTAATCCCATTCATGAGGGTT